ACGGGAGCTTGGGTCCTCCAGCAAGTCCTTGGAAGATCTGGGGTTGGAAGACACTGAACTGGGACACGCACACAACCCTATACTTCTTGGCCAAGCTAAGATTTTGCCACCAGGCCCTGCCTGTAACCTACTCCCGGAAGGCCTCCATGTCACTCACTTGTGAAACCACCAGCTCTCCACCAGCTCTTCACTCAGCTCCAGCAGGCGGTGGCACTCAAAGTCTGACTTGCTGCACACGCCCTCGAGCACCTCTACCAGGCGGGTCTCACTGTAGGAACAAGGCAGGGTGGTCAGAACATGCTCTGCCCCATCCACCAACCTCAGATCTCTCTAACCTTCCTGTTCTGTGACAATATCAAAGGAGAGGCCATAGAACATAATGGAAGGGATACTGTTTATGGTTTTAAATCTACTTGTGTGTCCTTGGGCAAGTCACTAAACCTCTCTGAACCTGTTTTTCTTATCTGTAAAATGGGGGCAATACCTTCCCTGCAGGTTTGTTAGATGACATCTCAGTTTCTGCAAGTGAACAACAGAATATACCCTTGCTGAGTAGATACGATTAAGTATGTATCATAGGACTGACTGAGAACGTAGCTCAGTAGTAGAGTGCTTGCCTAGCATGCTTGAGGCACTGCCAAAAAAAAAAAAAAAGTGTGTGTGTGTTTCATATAACAAATGTTGGAGTGGAACTGGAGAAACTGGGAACCCTTCTACCCTATAGGTTGGAATAAAAAATGGCACAACTAGGGCTGGTGCTGTAACTCAGTGGCAGAGCACTTGCCTAGCACATGTGAGGCACTGGGTTCGATCCTTAGCATCACATAATTCTGTCCATCTATAATTACAAAAAAAATTTTTAAAAAAATAGAAAAAAGGCACAATTAGCAGGGCATGGTGGCGCACACCTATATTCCCAACAACTCGGGAAGCTGAGGCAGGAAGATCACAAGTTCAAAGCCAGCCTCAGCAACAAAGCAAGACCCTACGCCACTTAGCAATATCCTATCTCAAAATAATAAATTAAAAAAGGGCTGGGGATGTGGCTCAGTGATAAAGTGCCCCCTGGGATCAATCCCTGGTATAAAAAGAAAAAAAGAGCAACCATCATGATAAAGAAGATTCTCAATAAGTTAACAATGGAGCCATCATATGACTCAGCAATTCCTCTCCTGGGCATAAACCCAAAAGAACAGAAAACGGGTGTTTAAACAAAAACTTGTACATAAATGTTCACAGCAACCAATCTTTGTAAGAGCCAAAAGGTAGAAAGAACCCAAATATTCATCAATGGATAAATGTTTAAACAAAATGCAGTATATCCATTCACTTATTCAGCCATAAAAAGGAATACTATACTGCAATATGGATGAACCTTGAAAACATTATGCTAAGTGAAATGAGCTAGACCCCAAAAGCTATGAAATATACAGTATGATTCCCAAGGAACCACAGAAATTTCTGCTTCAATAAGGCAGATTAGTGGAAGTGAAGAATGAGGAATGACTACTTGGAGGGTATGGTTTTTTGGGTGGGGGTAATGAAAATATTCTGGGTCAAGCACTGTGACACACCCCTGTAATCCCAGCTCCTTCGGAAGCTGAGGCAGGAGAATTGCAAGTTCAAGGCCAGCCTTGGTAATTTAGGGAGACCCTTTCAGAAAATAAAAATGAAAAATACTAGAGATGTAGATCAGTGGTAGAGAGCCCCTGGGTGCAAGTCTTAATAGTGGAGGGAAAAAAAAAAGGTCTTGAAATAGATAGTGGGGATGGTTACCCAACACTGTGAATGTACTAAATGTTCCTAATAGTAAATTTTTTATGTGTATCTTACCACAATTTTTTAAAAATTAATGTACAAAACTTGATGTACTGTGTATTTAAAAAATTTGGCACAGTGGTTGGCATATAGGAGGTGATTAAAAAACAAAACAACAGAAATAACCCAGGAGTCACTATAGCCAAGGGGTCATCTTGGCCAATCCCCTCATTCCTAAATAAGGAAACTGAGGACCACTGAGGAAAAGGAGATTGACCATCATAGAATACCAAACCCTTTTTTTTCTTTTTTTGGCTATACTGGGGTTTGAACCTAGGGTGGTTCTACTATTGGAGCTACATCCCCAGTCCTTTTTATTTTTTATTCTGAGACAGATTCTAATTAAATTGCCCAGGCTGACCTGAAATTTGCAATCCTCCTGCCTTAGTCTCTAAAGTTGCTGGGATTACAGACATGCACCACCTGGTGCAGCAAAACTTTTAATCTCTGGTGGGCATCACAATATAATCTTTTAACTCTTTCCACAATCCCATGAGAGAGGCAAAATAGGTGTTAGTATACCTCTCTTACAGGTGAGGAAACTGTGGCTCTCAGAGGATAAGTGACCTTTCCAAGATTACAAACTGGTAAGGACTGACAACTAGGTATAACTCTAAGTCTTCATTGACCCCTTCTCCATCAGATTTTGAAAAGGTGAAGGTAGCCAGGTGTGGTGGTGCACAACTGTAATCTCAGCAACTCTGGGGGCAGGAGGATTACAAGCTTAAGGCCACCCTCAGCAATTTAGCAAGGCCCTAAGTAACTTGGCAAGACTCCATCTCAAAATAAAAAATAAAAAGTGTTGGGGATGTGGCTCAGTGGTTAAATACTCCTAGGTTCAATCCCCAGTACATAAAAAGAAAGAAAAGGCAGAAAGCCTAGGACGCTCAGGTCCGGCTTTCTGAATCTTCCTTATCTTCCTTGTGGCTTTATGTACTGACTATATGTTGACAACCCTCAAATTCCTGTTTCCAGTTTCTACCTCTCTCCCCTGAGATACAGAGTAGAATGGAGTCTACTTGGATGTGTAGTGGACATCTCAGCCCAACACCTTCAAACAAAGTGCCTGATCCCACCTCTCCCCTAAATCTTCTCTGTAGTCTTACCATTTCAGAAAACACATGCACTATTCACCCAATGGCTAGAGTGTTTTATTCTAGTTTTCTCATACCTCCATAATAAATCTATCAATGAGTTCCACTTGTCTACCTGCAAAATATACCCAGATTTTGACCCCTTGTTACCATATCCACCACCAGATGTCACGCAGGCTCATGCTGCATTCATGCCTAGGCTGTACTTTAGCTTCCCAAAGGAGTCTGTTTCTTCTACCCTGGCCCCTGTTACAGCAGTGTTAATGATCTTTTCAAGGAATAAATAAGACCACATCACTTCTCTACTCAAAACCTTCCCATTACACTCTGAACAGAATCTAAACTCCTTTCTGTAGCCTTCAATGCCTGGACCTCTGTCCTGAATTTTCATCACCCTCCCTTTTGCTCACTACATTCCAGCCATTTCTGACATAGATCAAGATCAGTCCTACCCTGTGCCCAAATCCCTTCTCAAACTTTCACATAGCTTGCTTCTTTACTTCAGGTCTCTGTTCAAATTTCACATCTTGCCTCCCACCCTTCTGTAGTCTACCTTGTTGCTTTTTTTTTTTTCATTGACATAATTTACTCATTCATTTCTCATCTCCTCTACTAGAACTAAAGCTCCATGAAAACTGGACTTTGCTTCTTTGTTTACTCTTGTACTAAAGATGTTCTGCGATATTCACTGAGTAAGTGCTCCCCAAGAGCTCCAAGGCTGAGATTGGGAGACAAGAGTACACTCCTCCCTGGCCCAACCCGTTACCTGTCTTTGTATTTAGACAACTTTTCTTCTTCCCAGGCAGTGTTTCCACCTCCAAAGTTGTCCCGGATAGTTCTCTCCAGGCCCTGGACATGAAGACATTTAATAATAGCTAAGTACAGAGACTGACACATTCTAGCACTTTACTATCTAACTGACCAGGAAACTAAGACAAAGACAGGCAACTTGCCTATGGTCATCCAGCAACGAAGTTTTAGTAAGTGACCAAGATGTGAATCCATGCAGATGTGCCTCTGAGAGCTTCCTACTCACTACTGCTGTGCTATAATAGCTGAGACCCCCACCCTCAAGGCTGTTGGTGCACCAACCTTGTTGAAGCTGTCGACCAGTGCCCGGCAGGTATGACAAGGATGGGGTTCAGGTGGGGGAGAAGAATGGGGAAGAGGAGAGGGCTGGAGACAGACAGGACCTGGGAGACTGAGGAAGAGGCTCAGGCCCCAGAGCAGAGCTGGGATTAAGTCCTTCTGGGACTGGGGGGCCATCTTTTCCCAGGTTGAGGACCTGCAGATAAGAAGGGGTGAGGAAGGTTCACTGGAGAAGTCAGGTTCCAGGTGAGAAAGGAAGGGTCGGTTCTGAGGTGCCGCAGGGCAGAGAACCAAGGCCTGCGTAATTATCAGTAAAGGAAAATAAAGTGGGGTATTAGAGAGGAGGGAGTGGAGTTGGGTGGAGAAAGAAGCTTGCTTAATCTTCAATTCCAGAAAATAAATAAATTATCCCCGTTACCGTGGGGGAAGTGGCCGGAATCCTTGGCAAAGGGACAGGAGTCAGCCCATTGTTTTAGGGTCCCAATAAGAGTTATTAGGGGTCAAATCCGCAGAATTAAGGAGAAGGGGTCGGATTCCAAATACTGGGAGAGAGGAGGCCGGATGGGCGGTCTTGGGGGAGGAGTCTGGAACCCCAGTCCTGGGAAGAGCCCGGATCCGGATATGAAGAGCAGGGGTCAGGTTGGGAGCCTCGCAGGTAGGCAAAGTCACGGCTCACAAGTCGGCAGGGGAGGATCCAGGCCCGCCTAGACCGCGGAGGAGGGAAGAGCAGCTACAGCCCAGCCCTTGGGCGCCGCCAGCGACGTCTCGTCAACGCCACGGCCACCACCGCCTGCGTAAAACGTACAACCTTCACCAGCGCCGCAGTCCGGGAGGCGGAGCCTGCCTCCCAGCCAATAGCGCCGGGCCATGTGCCATTGCGTCACCCCACGATAACCAACCAGAGGCGGCGACGGGCTGCACCTGTCTTGGCTTTAAAGGGCCGCGGGGTTAAAAGAGGACTTGCCAGCCTAGCTGCTCCGCCACAGAGGCACGTGTGGGTAGTGACGATAGAAAAATAGCGTCTGCCTTTATTCAAATCCAGTTCCCCGCCCCAGGCTCCATCCCACGCCTCAGCTCCGGGGCTCCCGGGAACTGTAAGCAGCTGTCCAGAGCGGGCTGCAGGGCCTGGGACACTTGCTCCGCCCACTCCTCCAGCCGCCGGGGATGTGGGGCGCTGGGCCCCTGTAGGGCGCCTGCGAAGTCCAGCAGCTGGGAGGGCAGTGAGAAGACCGGCACTGTGCGGAACAGGTCGGGTACAGCGTCCAGGTGGAGCAGTCTGTCGAAGCAGGCCCCGACGTAGCGACCCGGCGCCCGGCCTTGGGAGAAGTCTGGCAGTACGCAGCTGAGCGAGGCGGCGAAGGCGTCGTGCGGGCCGTAAGCCCCTGGGGCCGCAGCTGCACCGTCCTGCAGCCACTCTCTGCACAGCGCCACGGCCCCAGGCGAGAAGAGCAGGACCACCACACCGCCCTCCTGCAAGGTCTGGCGCCGCTGTGCGTGCAACCAGGCCAGGGGACCCTGAGCGCTGAGCTCACGGCGGCTCCACAGGTCTACGGCCACACGCAGCGACAGCTGGCTCAGCGCCGATGCCAGCGCGCCCACCAAGCGCTCGAAGCCCACATCATCAGCGGAATAGAGGAGCAGAGCCGCGCGGCCCCTAGCGGCCACTACGAGAAAGGACAGAGGTGTGGGCAGAGATGAGAAAGCTAGCGGCCTGGCCTCTGCGTGCAGTCAGTCCTAGGCCACGCACACTCACACTCACCCCCCAAGCAGAGGTCCTGCTTCCAGAGCCTCAGCCACCCTGCGAGGGAGAGGGCCTAGGCAGCCAGTGAGCTCGTCCGCCCCTTCCCTCGGGGAACTCTCAAGCCCACTGTGGCCCTCCTCCTGGGGAGCCGGGAAGCTCTCACCTTTCACGCGATCCTTTTTTAAAAGGAGGAAGAGGATCAGCGCTGCAGTAAAGAGAAGGAAGGCCAGCCACGCCAGGACCCAGCGCTTGTGGATATCTGAGAAAGCCAGGGAAGAAAACGGCTAGTTAGAAAACCTTACACTTTCTTTTTCTGTTTAGTTTGTTTGTGTTTTGTTTTGTTGGTATACAGGGGATTGAATCCAGGTGTGCCCTGCTGCTGAGTTACACCCCCGGTCCTTTTTGTTTTTTGAGACAGGGTCTCACTGATTTGCTAAATGTTGTGGAGGCTGGCCTCAGGTGCAAGCCACCATGCTCAGCAAAATCTTACACTTTCACCCCACATCACAGAGGTGAAAAACAGGCGTACAGAAATGATATGATTGAAAAACAAAAAGTAAAAATAGTAATAAAACAAAAAGAAATGAAGTCATTGCCAAAAACACATAATCAAAGCCAGTGTATTAGCATAACTCCATCTATTTAGGCGAACCTCTGTAAGTGAATTTACATTCTGCCTCAGTTTTTGTGGCTGTAAAATTGAGATAACAGCAGTACCAACTTAATAGAGTTGCACATGAAGTGTTTATAGGATGCCAAGCATTGTACGTGCTCAAATGTTAGCTAACATTGTCCCCTAAGCCTACAGCACTCTACCAACTAAGCTATATCCCCAGCCCCCCCAGTCCATCTTTTTTTGCTTCCAATCCATTTCCTCTGTGGCATCTTCAAAGATCTTTTTAAAATATACATTTTTAGGGCTGGGGTTGTGGCTCAGTGGTAGAATGCTTGCCTAGCATGTGTGAGGCCCTGGGTTCCTTTCTCAGCACTGCATATAAATAAATAAAGGTCTATTGACAATTAAAATATATATTAAAAGAGGGCTGGGGCTGGGGCTCAGTGGTAGAGGCTCTGGGTTCAATCCTCAGCACCACTAAAAATGAAATTAACATATGGTGTCCACCTACAACTAAAAAATAAATGTAAAAAAAAAATTGTAGGGGCTGAGGTTGTGGTTCAGCGGTAGAGCACTTGCCTAGCACATGCAAGGCTCTGGGTTCGATCCTCAGCACACATAACAACAAATAAAATAAAGGCATTGTGTCCAACTACACCTAAAAAAAATTTTAAAAAATTGTAGCCCTAAGTTTTAAAATATATATCACATAAAAATAAAGATATTATGTCCAACTAAAAAAATAAATATTTAAAAAAGAAAAAATTAAAAAATATGTATACACATTTTATTATAACCCTTCAATAAAATGGAAGCTCCTGCTGCTGTAAATATAAAACCTAAATTCCCTGCCTGGCCTCTGCATCTTCATCTCATGACAGAGATCTGTCTGACCAGGACCTTCTATCCATACTACCTTGGAATTTCTCAAGAAAAGTATCTCATAGTCTTCATAAAAATGTATTCCTGTTCCCATCACCTAGGTCAGCCTTCAGAGTGTGTCTAGAAACTTCTCTGAACCCCTTATCTCACGTAGGTCTCCATTATATGCATTTACAGCACTGAACATTTTAGAGGGCTTCTATAACTTCAATAGCTCACCCTATTGTAAGCTCACACTTTTGTGAATATTCAGTAGCTCATAGTTACTAATTGTAATGGGTTATTTGGCTTATCTTTTATCTTCTTTTACTGGGGGCAGGATTGTATCATTTTAGTGATGCTGGCATCCCTGTAAGCACTCATGTATTTTGTGGTACTGGAGATTGACCCAGAGGTGTTCTACCACTGAGTTACACCTCCAGTCCTTTTTTGTTTTTAAATATTTTTAGTTGTAAATGGACATAATACCTTTGTTTGTTTGTTTTTGGTGTTGAGGATCAAACCCAGTGCCTCACAGTTGCTAGGCAAGTGCTCTACTACTGAGCCATAACCCCAGCCCACCTAGTCCTTTTTAAATTTAAAATCTTTCTTTTTTCTTTTTCTTTTTTAAATTTTGAGACAGGGTCTCACTGAATTGCTGAGACTGGTCCTGAACTTGCAATCTTCCAGTTCCACCACATATGGCTCATGATATTTTTTTTTGAATAAAGGAATGACCCTCTGATTTATCTGAGTGCAGGGAAGGACAAGGCCATTGCATGTGCTGTCTCAGGAATGGTCCCTGTCAAGATTCTAGCTCCGAGTATGCAGAGGAAGGGCAGCTCTTGTAATACTCACACTTGTCCATGGGGCAGGCCCATAGTGCTCCCAGGTCACCATCCCACAACTGCAAGACACAAACAACCAAGTCCAGAACCTCCTTCCAGGTTGGTGTTCAACATCCACCAGTTTCTGGCCAGCCTGGGCCATGCAGATTTCCCCCCACACTGTAAGTTTCTGCACTCTACTCTGCACTTTTTTTTTTAAATATTTTTTAGTTGTTGACTTTTATTTGTTTGTATGCTGAGAATCGAACCCTGTACCTCATACATGCTAGGCAAGCATTCTTCCACTGAGCTACAACCCCAGCCCATAATCTGCACTTTAAAAAAAAAATGTTTTTTTACTTGTAGATAGATACGATACCTTTATTTTATTTATTTTTATGTGGTGCTGAGGATCGAACCCAGTGCCTCATACATGTGAGGCAAATGTCTGCCACTGAGCCACAACCCCAGCCCATACTCTGCACTTTTTAAAGCTATCTACTCTCTAGGTGGATTTCCTCCATGCCAAATCTGACCCACAGGATGAGATCCTTCCTTGAAACTCTCTCTGGGTCCCCAAACTTAGCACTGTGGGTGTAAGTATTGGTTTACTGGTCTCTAGCCAGTGGTGAACTCCACAGAGATAGGAACTATGCTTCTTCTACCCTTAACCTCTCCAAGGCTAGCTGCAAAAGAAATACAAATGATAAGTGAGGACTAGCTTTAGGCCCATTGCCCTTGGGCATTAGGGAAAGGCCCTTTTGCCATTTACTCACCTGCAAACACTGGCCTGACTGCAGATCTTGTATTAACTGCTCTCCAAGGCGAGCTGCCCTCTGCCAAGAAAGGAATGGGGACTGTCACCTGGGGTCAGAACCCTGGGGAAACCACCAGGCTGCAGATGGGCAGAATTGGAGTGGGAGGCCCGCTGGGAGAGTTGAGAGGCCACAGAACACACATATGAACACATTCACACATCCATCCCCCAAGACTAGCACAAGCCTTGACACAACGTGTGTGGAGTGAAAATTTGAAGTCAGGTGAGATAGAGCTGGACAGATCTATGCCTCCACTATCCCTCACCGTGGAGTCCCGACTGGGCAGGGGAGTACAGCCACTGGGTTCTAAGGCACAGAGTGATCTGTTGTCCTGGGGGCCTCGTGTGTCCACTAGCAGCATATCATCCTTGAGGGGCCCTAGTGAGTCTGGGAGGAATGACAGGTGACTGTGAACAAGATTCAGTCTTTCTGGGAGTTGCCCCTTATCCCCCTCCCATGCCCTGACCTTCACCCCCAGCACCTCCAGGGTTCACCCTTATTACAGTGGCCTGGTCACAGCCTCCCCATGGGTCCCACTCACCAGCCCACAAGCACTCTTGGAGCTGCAGCTTCTTCCAGCTGCTCACCTGCTTGGAATTAAGGGCACAAGAAAACAGAAAGCCAAGGCCAGAAAGGACAAAAGAGAAGGGGCAGACAAGAGTAAGCCAGGTTGGAATCTGCACTGTGGAGCTGAGGTTGGGCAGGTCTGGTTTCAAAGTTCCTTGGTTAGGAGTAATTTCATCTTTCTCAGTTTCAGCCTTGCAAAGTCATCTGCACTTAAGGGCTTGATGACCCTTCAAGCTTTTTTTTGCGGGGGGACGGGTACCAGAGATTGAACTCAGGAGCACTCTACCACTGAATGACATGTCCAGCCCTTTTTATGTTTTGAGACAGTATCTAAGTTGCTGAGAGTTTTGCTAAATTGCAGAGGCTGGCCTGAAGCTTGTAAGCCTCCTGCCTCAGCCACCTGAGTTGCTGGGAGTACAGGCATTAATCACCACACCTGATCTTAAAGCTCTTTTAATGTCCTAACCAAGCACTTTATTACATTCCCTTCTCAACCAAGTGCCTTCTCAAAGAGAAGGTTCCATTCTTACCTGACAACCCCATTTATAATTGCAGCCCCAATCCTTCACCTTTTACTGGTAGTGTTTGTATTCCACCTTGACATACTTACTATGTACTTTAATTTACTCACTATGGTATCTTATTTGCCTTTCTCCATCGGAAAATAGGTTCTATGTATGGGGAGGGAGCATTTTTTATTTTGTTCATTTGCAGATCACAGGGCCTAAAACAGTACCTGGCACAAAGTGGATGCTCAATAAATAAATCTTGAATATAACCACCCTTTGAAGCTGTAGAGCAACCTATTCTACAAATGGGGAAATGGGATTATGAGAGCAATAATAAAAGCAACTTATACTTATTGAGTGTTTGGTCTGTGCCAGCCCCTGAGGCAAAGCACTTCTCTCATTTCATCCTCATAACAACTCGAGGAAGTAGTTATTATCATCTGCATTAAACAGATGAGAAGAATGACTTTCAGAGAGGTGAAGTGCATAGGGTCCCATGCACTGCTGAAGTCCACTGGGGGACTCCCAAAGAGGAAGCTGGTAACTACTATGCCTTAGGGGCTGAAGAACAAAGTACAAGCAGAAGACTGACTTCTGTGTCTATGTGGTGTCTGGCCCCAAACCCAGTGCTCTGGTATCCCATTCTGACCTGGACACAGATATTGGGGTGGCCTTTCAGCAACGGGAACTCGTTGGCCTTCTGCAAAAAGCAGGGAAGAGGTCAGGTGGTAAAAATGAACTCCTGGGTTCCCTCCCATCCCCCACCCTGGGCACTGCCCTTGGCCTTGCTTACATTCACAGTGACATTCTCCTGGGGCAAGGGCGGGGCAAGTGGCTGGCAGGGGCCACCATCCGGTGTCCACCAGCACAGCACCACCTCCGCAGGCAGCGAGCAGGGCGCGTCTAGCCGCCAGGTCCGCGGGGACAGCAGCCGCAACCGAGTGGCGCGCCAGAGGTTTCGATGCGCGCGGGGGTCTGCAGGAGGGCATGAGGGTCAAGTTGCTACCGGCTTGGTTCCCCGCTGACCCCAATCTCACCTCTGGATATCTGCTTACCCTCCTTGAAGGGGCAGAAGCTGGTCCTAACAGAGTCGGGCTCCAGGGGCCACACCTGGAAAGAAAAAAGGGATGCTCAGCTCTATTCAAATCACCCAACTCATTCCAGCCCTCTACCAGCCAGTGCCAGGGTCCTCTGCTAGGCACTAGGGACACAATCACTCAGCTGATATTTTATAAGCACTTACCAGGTCTTATCAACCCTTTACAAAGCTCTAGAGATGCAAAAATTCATTCTGTCAGCAAACACTCTGCCGAATACAGGCAATATCTTCATTCAACAATTTTCCCCCAGTGCTGGGGACACCTCCTAGGCAAGCACCTTTCCTCCCAGCCATACCCCAAGCCCTTTCAGTAGATTTTTTAAAGAGCACCTATTATTTTATTCATCAAACTTTTAATTAATGTTTTGAACAACCAATAATAAAAATTTAAAAAAAAAACCTTTTAATTAAGAGCACCCACTATGTGGTTAGGCATTGTGTGTGGCAATGAGGACAGTTAACTTACAGCAAACATTTCCTTCTTAAACATCTGCTATGTGTCCTACCTCTGTGCTAGGCAGTAGAGATTCATTTATTCATTCATTAGTTAGCACCTACTATATGCCAGGCCCTGTGCAAGGCTCTGGCAAAGTTATCATATTTAAATTAGATAAGCTTTGCTTGCTTTCAAGGAAATCACAAACTCACAGTAGTAGTCACAATAAAATATGTACATAAATTAGTAAATAAATCAATCATTTTTAAGTATATATTGAGTATCTATCGTGTAGAAGAAGCAGCTGATGGTTGTCCAAATATGAAAAGAAATGATACATAGACAAGGAAGGAAAGAGGAAGTACAAGTGGATTTGGAGCTAGGAGAGGCCAGGTGGTTAGAGAAAAGCTTTGGGAAAGAGATGCCATATGAGCTGGGAAAATTTGGTTGTAGGGAAAGAGGTAAGGGAAGTTCAGAGAGAGAGCAATGCCTGAGCAAAGGCACAGAGGTGGTTGTACCTCGGTAAACAGCTCCACTGGACATACCAAATTCCTATAAAGGGGAATCGTGGGGAACACCTAGTGGGGAAGGTTCAACTGGGGATTGAGTATGGGGTCCAAAATGCCAGAGAAGTGATGGGAAGGGAGATGGGGCTGGAATTATTAAAACAGTCTGGCAGAAAGATGACAGAGGCCCAAACTGAACTGAGATAGAAGCAGGGAGAAAGAGAATGAAAGACACTAATGTGGAGAGGTCAGATGAATAGGACCTGATGACCAATTAAATGTACAATCAGAATTTAAGCCAGAATGTGGTGCACTTCCTTCTAATAATAGCCCTATGAAGTTGGTACGATTATATTTCCACTTTACAGATACAAAACAGGCTCAGAGAGGTTGTGACTCCTCAAAGATCACACAGCTAGCAAATGACAAGAGCAAGGATTGAAAATAGTCTGAATCCATAGCATATACTCTACTCTCCTTGTGAGCACAAAGAGGGAAATTAAGGAACAGAGGAAGGCTTCAAGTCGGAGGTGATGTCTGAGTGGACTATGGAGCATAAGTAGGAGTAATATGGATGGAGGAACAGGAAGAGCATTCTAGGTATATTATAGGCAGAAGATATAGCACAGTAAGGGTCAAGGGAGGAGGAGTCTCTGCCTCAAAGAACAGTACGGAAGATGGTAAGACCAGGAAGGTGGCATCTACCCTCTCAACATCTTCCCAGTCCCCTTCTCCTGGTGCCCTGCTAGACTTTGCTCCTACCTGAATACAGAGGCAGGGAAGTAGGTCTGTATGGTTCAAGGTAATGGTCTGTGGTCCAGTCTGTGGGAAAAGCATAAGGAGAGAAGTTGGAGAAAACAAGAAAATCAGACAAGTAAAAGTTCCCCTATCAATGTTCCCTTGCTTTGGGTGTGTCCTCTTCAAGGATCCCCTTTGGTAAGACATGCATATTCTTAGTATAAGCACTGGCTTGGACTGAAAATGGACTCAGAGAGGGAAAGGCCTCACCAGGTTTCTGTGCCACCAGGGCTTGGGGGGACCTTGGACCTGATTCCAGTACAGTAAGAGGCTGTAGTGCTGCTCCTCAGAAACGGCCAGCACCAGGAGCACACTGTCACCATCTGCAGACACATTGAGCCAGGGCAGGGCTGGTGGGGGAGACACAGGGAAAGAGGGCAGCTTAGACTTCCTTCACCTCTGCTACAAACCTAAGCTTGGGCCATACTTACCAACTGACCCTTTGGTCTCCTTCAAATCTCTTACACTAGGAGGCCCTTGCTTTGGGTGTGTCCTCTGCATCTCCATTTCAGACCAGACTTTGTCCCCAGCCACTGACTTAGGGTCAAGCCCATAGAGGTCCCAGTATGTGATCTTGGGATAGCTCTTCTCCCTGCTTCTTCTTCTGCAGCCAGTTGGATCCTATAACCACTATTAAACAAACCACTTTCCTCTTCTCAGAACCCATATATGGTCCTCCCCTAGAGCTCCCAGTAAAAGATGGAGTCTTTACCCAATCTAGATACTGTGACCTCTCTAACTTCATTCTCTAGCACTTATGTCCTTAATTATTCTGCTGCAGACACACTGGCCTCCTTACTACTTCTTAAATACACCAGACATATTTCCACCCCAGACCCTTTGCACCAGCTATTCTCTCCCCATAGAACCCTTGTCTCTCAAATGGCTCCTCCATCACCTCCTTCACTAGAATGAGGTCATTCCACTGCTACAAACCCCAACCTTCCTATCCCGCCTCCTTGAATTTTATTCACAGCTCTAATCACCATTTAACTTACTGTCTACTTCATATCTCCATGTGTTTATTGTGTCCTCCCTTGCCCCTACCCCAGTCCCGCTCCCAGCTCCATAAATCAGGGAGTTTTGTCAGTTTTGTTTATTGATTTATCCCCAATGTCTGGTGCAGAGTAATTATTCAGTAAATATCTTTTGAATAAGTGAAACAATGTCTATTGAATGAATCAAGAAATGAAATGCAGGATGTGCATCTGTGTTTTCAAAGCCCTGGTGCTGATGGATCTTTATGGATTGCCAAAGAGGCAGGCCAAGTTTAAGGAAACAAAAAGAAAATGAAGTTGAAAAAGTTTAATAGTTAAAAAAAATCATAATTAATCCCAGTGGATTGGGAGGCTGAGGCAGGAAGATCATGAGTTTAAAGAGAGCCTCAGCAACTTGGCAAGACCCCATCTCTAAAAAAAATTATAAAAGCACTGGGGATGTGGCCCAGTGGTTAAGCACCTCTGAGTTTAATCTCTGGCCAAAAAAAAAAAAAATCACAGTGTTAGCTGGGCATGTTGGCGCATGCCTATAATCCCAGCCGCTTGGGAGGCTGAGGCAGGAAGATCACAATTTTAAAGTTAGCCTCATAAACTTAGTAAGACCCTGAGCAACTTAGTGAGACCTGCATCAAAATTTTAAAAAGGGGGGTTGTAGGATGTAGCTAAGTGGTTAACCCTCCCCCCATTCAATCCCCAGTACAAAAAAAAAAAAAAATCACAGTGTTTAAATCTTTTTTATAATAATTTTTTTTTTTTTTTTTTTTTTTTTTATTGTTGGCTGTTCAAAACATTACACAGTGTTTAAATCTTGATCTGGGTTCCAGTTATGCAAGTGTGTGTATGTAGTGTGCAAGTGTATATATATACACACAGACACACACACATATATACTTATATATGTACATATATATAAAAACTTACTGATCTGGACATTAAAATTAATGCACTTTACATACCTTTCTATATGTATGTTATACACAGAGAATAAAAACAAAACAACAGCCAGGCATGATGGTACACATCTGTAATCCCAGCAGCTCGGGAGGCTGAGGCAGGAGGATCGTAACTTCAAATCTACCGTCAGCAAAAGTGAGGCACTAAGCAACCTCAGTGAGGCCCTGTCTCTAAATAAAAGTACAAAATAGGGCTGGGGATGTGGCTCAGTGGTTGAGTGCCCTAGTTCAATCCCCAGTACTCCCCCACAAAAGGGAAGGGGGTGGCGCTGAGGATGTAGCTCAGTGGTTAAGTGCCCCTGGGTTCAATCCCTGGTACAAAAAAAAAAAAAAAAGCAAAATCCCGGGCTGGAGCTGCAGCTCAGAGGCAGAGCACCTGCCTAGCATGTGTGAGGCACTACTGGGTTCCATTCTCAGCACCATATAAAAATAAACAAAAAGGCCATCTACAACTACAAAAAAAAAAATTTAATTAAAAAAAAAAAGCAGAATCCAAATAGTGCACACAGGAGAGACAAATCAGAAACTTGCCTTTCTTAGCTCTTATTACAGGTTTATTATAATTGATATATGGATGAGACCACCATAATCTTGACAATGCTTTGGGCCTCTAGATGTTACTGGTATGAATAAATATTTGTTATAAGTGAGAAATCAATTTTGTTATTTCCATTGCCTGGCACAGATAGCAGCTGCCGTACTTCATGTGTTATGAATGAATGAATGAATGAATGGGCTCTGTGAGTGTGGCAGGCCAGTCTGAAGCTAACTCCAAGAGTCCCTCACATGAACTCCAAACCCTGCCCCTCCCTCTTCCCAGCCCAATGGCCCTAGCCCCTACCCCAGCAGCTCTGGATGCTGTCCCGGACTTCCAGCCCCCTGCAGTCTGGAGAGAGAGATCACAGAAATGCCTCCAGTGGGACTGGGCACCAAAGACAGAAAGGGGGGCAATCCAACCCATGGGGAACACCCTGTCCCCTAAATACTACCCACATCTATCCAGTGCACAAAGCTCTTCCAGAGGGGCCGGAAAACTGTGTCACATGGGGAGAGGAGGCCTGAGGGACTGAATCAGTCCCTTGAGAGGATGCAAACCCAGACTCCTGCCTGAGATGAATGGTGAATGGGAAAGAGGGTAAAAGCAGGAGGGGAGTGCCTGGAGGGGACAGAAACTCGGAAGCTAGGATGTGGGGCTTCTGAGGTTCTGCAGGCACTTACCAGGCAGCTGCTCTGTGATGTTGAGTTCTTTCTGATACCTGGGCTGAGTATAGGACCAGATTCGTACCTCAGCTCCCACAGCAGCCTCAAAGCAGTCAAAGACTACAGAGCCCTGTGAGGAAAGGGTGGTAGAAGGCTAGAGAGAGGCCCTGGTAAAGGGCTCAGAATCCAGACTGAGGGCTTGGGCTTCTCTGCATGGACCACTCTGCTCACCACCTGCCTTTCCTAACCAATGACTCCATTGTACCAAATACCCTGAAATCTACCATCAGAGTTCCCACTGAAGGTCTCCAATTCTGAAGCAAACATCCTCTGTGGCAGCGTGGGCAAGGCAAGAATGGGCTCTAGCTATCCCAGTCCCTGCCCTGACCTCTGCTGGCTTGGACCACTTGTCCAAAGCTAAGCTGATGAGATACCCAGCACAAATGTGGCTCACCCCTCCCTATAGAAGTGGTTCCAATACCCAGTGCCTCAGTAGGACTGTGGTGGGCTAAGAATTTCTCCCATTTTACAATTTTCCAGCTGGGGCCTAGGTGTGCAGGAGTAGTCATAGAGTTTGAGTGATCTAACTCTAGCAAAGAGCTCTTGGAACCATGTGTGATGTCCTGAGGCGGGGAGAAGTCCCAACACCTTCAACCAGGTGTATATACCATGGGATGGCAGGATTATTATTCAAGAGTTTGGAGAATTGCATGCAGACTACAAACTACCCCTCTCCAAGCCTCAGTCTCTCTATCTGGAAAATAAGGGTGATAACAATGCCTCGTTCATGGGGGATAGTTCTCAGTATTACAAAAGAAAGGAAAAAAATTATTGATATCCTTCAGCACTGGGTATTATACAAAGTATATTACAGATAATAATTTATTTAATTCTTAAAACAGCCATATGCAGGGCTGGGGATATAGCTCAGTAGGTAAAGTGCTTGTCTTGCATGCACAGGGCCCTGGTTCAGTCCCCAGCACCAAAAAACCAAAACAAAGAAAACCCAGCCGTATGCAGTAGGACTATTTTTTTTTAAAGTAGTAACCCCCCAAATTTATTTATTTTTGTGTGGAACTAGGGACTGAATCCAGGAGCAGTTTACCACTGAGCTAGATCCCCAGGCTTTTTTGTATATTTTATTGAGACAGGGCCTTGTTAAATTGCAGAGGCCAGCCTTGAACTAGTGATCCTCCTGTCTTAGCCACACTAGTAGCTGGGATTACAGGCAACTAAGAAAAAAGAGAGAGAAAAAAAAAGAGGGGGGAAGGAGGGAGGGAGGAAGGGAGATGGAGAGGAGGGAGAGAGGAAGGAAAGAAAGAAAGGAAGGAAGGAAGGGGAAAAAGAAAGAAGGAAGAATGACAAGAGAGAAAAAAACATAATGATAAACCACTATACACATAGTAGAATGGCTAAATTTTACAATTATAATACCAGTGTTGACAAAGACGGGAAGCAATTAGAACTCCCATGTACTGCTAATAGGTATGAAATAGTAGAACTCTCCTTGATAGTTTTTCATAAAGTCAAACATATGAGGTAGGATATTCTCATCCCCATTTTACAGACAGAAAAACTGAGGCACGAAGGGAAATAATGCTTATGAAAGTGTTTTCTAGAGTTCATATCTAGCAGGTGGTTAGTCTGGTTGTGAGAAGGAGGGTTTCACATACCACAGACTGACCAGGTTGCACCAGGGCAGCAGGCGCTTGCACCTCCAGCAGGACACAGCGGGTAGTAGGGTAGGCATGGAAGGACAGCACGACTTGGGCCTGCAGAGAGGCTGTGAGCAACAGGCAGGTGTCAGGCAGACCAGGGATGTGGGCAGGGACCAGGGACCCTGGTGAGGGCCAGTTGGGCCAGCAGGTTCTTCTTACCATTCATAGGCTCCTCAAGCTCCAGGTCAGCTGCTCCTTCAAATTTTTCTTCCTCTCCAGGCTCTTCCCAATGCTCTGGAAGGACCAGAGAGCAAGGACCAGATCAGATCCCCAGCTCTGGGCTGGCTTTAGGCGTGGCTTCCTTCTAAAAATTCCAGTGCTGAGAAGCATGGGCTAAGCCTCGAGAGACCAGGTGGACCTTGGGGTCCTTTGGCCAGTCATCTCAACACTGAAGATGCTTATTACTGCCCGACATACTCCCTGGCTCTCATGCCTGCGCTAGACATGCTGACATGTACACTTGCAGTCTCAGGATGACTCACTCACCTTGCACGGCCAAGTGGACAACCACACGTACACATAGGTCACAGTCTGTCTCCTGGTGGCACCTCAGCACTAGCTCTGTCTGCAGGCGCGTGGGCACCAGCACAGGGCCTGGGGTGGACACGATGCTCCCAGGTAAGCAGAGCACATCACCATCTGTTTATGAAGGGTGGGGTGGAAGCTGAAGTTGTTCAGAACCCAGTTTAGTTGAAACCTACATCCCAGAGCACCAAGGAGCCCAGCTCTTCCTGGGATGAGGGTGAGCAGAGTAGGCATGGGGCTAGGAAGGTTTCTCTCCCTTTCATCAACATGGAAAGTTCTTTTCTCTATAAAAGAAGAAATACTGCCGAGCATGGTCGCACATACCCGCAATCCCAGTGGCTTGGGAGGCTGAGGCAGGAGTACCACAAGTTCAAAGCCAGCCTCAGCAACTTAGCGAGGCACTAAGCAACTCAGGGAGACCCTGTCTCTAAATAAAATTCAAAAAAGGGCTGGGGATATGGCTCAGTGTCAAGTTTTCCCCTGAGTTAAATCCCCAGTACCAAAAAAAAAAAAAGTGGAGATACTTACCCCAGAGGTGGCAGGAGAGGCCCTTGAAGGGAGGGAAAGTAGAGTCAGAATTTATACCCCCAAGTCTAAGCAATGTCCCCTGCCCGAGACCCCTCCACCTCTTTCTGAGGCTCTCTATCTCAAGTCTCCCTCCAGAAGAAGACGGGACCAGCCCCAGCCCCCTTCCTATTCTTCTCTTCCCCCATCCATACCAGACAGACCAGCCAGGGCAGTTCTGGTGGCAGTGGCAGTGACAGGAGCCAGACTAAGGATTTGATGAGCCGTAGCCTGAACCCTGAGCCTCCCCAACCGTCCCAGGGCCTCCGACTCACCAAAGAACAGCGGGCAGCATCCTGAGGCCCCACAAACCTCTCCAGAGAGACGACCATGGGATTTCGGCCCAATGCCAAGGACAGCAGGAACCAGGGCACAGGCATCTTCCAGGTGCCAGGAAGCACCCAGGCCTGGGGCCCTGTCCTGCCCCCCCCACGGGGGGGCAGACACCCTATCCTAGCCCCCACTCAGCCCAGTGTCTGTGGGCAGTGGAGCTGGAATCCCTCCCCAGCCTCAGGGGTCCCAGCACTTGAGAGCTTATGCGCTCCCACTCCTGGGAGCCCTGACTCCAGTCCCAGTTCCAGCCGAGTGCTTTCGATTTGGCTCCCAGCAGGCAACCGGCTGTTCCCGCCCCGCCCTGTCCCTCCCACCCACACCAATCCTGGCTTCCAGCAGTCTTGGACTGGGATGGTGGCCTCTCCTCCTCCTCCATAGCTGACACCTGACTGGGAGGGGACCCCAGAAAGACAGTGCAGCATCATAGCTGAGCAAGGGAATTCCTACTCATCCTGGGAGTCCTAAAAAGGAGCTCCAACTGAATCCAGCCCAGGGCTTGGGCAATCCTGGGGCACTTCCACTTCCCATGTGAACCTGAGATCCCAGGGCCAATGGGTTCCTTCTTAGGGATACCTCGGGTCCCGTTTCACACACTTTCCTGGGTCTCATTATCCCTTTGTGGGACAGGAGCTCTAAAAGGTACCAGAAAGTGGCTTTTCCCCACTGCCCAGACTAGGCTCAAGTATGGTATCGGGGAAGGAAAACAGGATCCAGAGCCAGGCCGAGGTCCTGCCTGTGCTATTGCCATGGCTAGTCACAGGAGGATGAACACACCACCTAGTAGAGCCTGTGTTTCTTCTCCCTCCTCTTGAAAGAATCACTGTGAGGATCCAGGAGATTGCTTGGTCCTCCTTTGCCTTGCCCAGGCACTACTTGTGAGAACACATGGTCAAGGGTGTAGGTGTGCAGGCAGAAGATTTGGACTCACAAACTGATACAACTCCCCCATACACCCCATGTCCCCCATACTTCACAGGCTCACAGGGACCCTCTCCCAACTTGGCATTCCAGCCATACTAGAGAAGCATGTTGTGTTCCTTCCTTTATAATGTACACTTTTATTCATATTTCTGGATCTCTGGATCCTGTTCCACCTTTAGCCTTGTCACCCAGGACCAAAGCAACTTTTCCTTGATCAAGAGTCCTCCCTTGGTCCAAAAAATATGGAGAACCCTGGCCCCAGGTGGTTTTCTTCCAACCCCCTGAAGGACTGACAGCTCTTGCAGTCACCACCCTTGCCCCATCCCCTCCAGCATGGACTAGAGCTCTGGCAGACAGCTCTTCCTGGAGCTTTAGAGAGCTCGAATGGGAAGAGGGCCCTCTCTCCATCAGAACCTGGGTCTGAGTTCTCAGTTGAAGGGCGCCTCTCTCCCCTAGAGTTTGTAAGAGGCAAGCAAGTCTGAAAAGGAAACCCAAAACTATGAGGCCCAGGCTAGGCCTCTTGGATTAGGAGGCAGACAAGAAGGCTTTTCTGTCAATAGTCCTCAAGAGATCCCCTAAGGAATCCAGGTCCAAAGGCTCATTCTGGGGTTCCAGCCAGTGCCCCTACAGACTGTGGCCACAAACATCTGGGACTGCGGTGGAACCCCGCCGAGCTTTGGCAGCCGAATTTGGCGGCCTCACGTTCTAGTTGGCGGCACAGCTCCAGACGGCCACGCAAGCACTGCTGAGCCCCAAGGTGGCTCCAGCTGGTGGCTCGGGTGGAAGGCCGAGCGCCCAGAGCCCGCAGCAGGCGCGGCAGGTCTCTGAGCAGGCGGTAGCGCGGCAGGGCGCGCAGCGGCTGGGGAATGTCGCCTTTGGCACAGAGCCGACTGAAGTAAGCGAGCAGCAGCAGCGGGCGTGGGGCAGCCCGGAGCAAGGCGCGCAGGGAAGTGGAGCCAGGATCCAGGCCTTGGGTGGGACCAGGGCCTGCGCCACTCCACAGCAGTAGCACGGTGCCCTGCTCCCGTGCCACGCGCGCCTGCGCCGCCCAGAGCCACGGCAATGGGCCCACTCGTGCCATGTGTGTCCCCTCCCACAGGTCTACAATCACGTCGCATCCACCGCCCAGCGCTGTCCGAAGCAGTTCAGCCAGAGCTCCCACTAGGCGCTGCTGAGGTTCTGAGTCCGCTGCGTGCAGGAGCAGCACCAGTCGCGCTCTGCCCCGGCCTGAGGGCGGGAGCAACACCTGAACAGAGTGGGGTGGGGCGGGGCGGGGGAGGGGAGGGCAAGGGACAGCCGGCCCTCTCCTCCCCAGCCTTTCGGCTACACGGTAGAGTGACTCCCCCACCCCCACCCCCCGCCCCGCTGTCTCCTATCTGTGCTGAAGAGTCAGTACCTAGGGCAGCTTGGACCCATAAGGTTCTTGTGGGCTAATTAAATAAAGGCACACCTTATGGAGCACACAACACTTGGCAAGCTCCGTGCAGACTGGAGTTTTGCCCCCCCCCCCCCCGCCCACTGTCTTGGTACCAAGACAACCTACACAGAGGACCCTTTGCTCTGCCTTAACCATTTCTGCCCACTAGGGGGCCTGAGAGACTTAGGGGCACAGGTCGGGAGCTGGGGGCGGGTGCGGACAGGAGGGAGCAACTAACCTAGGAGCCAGCACGTTTGAAGCCTCTGGTTACCCCCAGGTGAACATACCTGGCAGTAGGCGCCGGCAGGTGAAGACCAGAACAACGCCCAGTAGGGTGGTGAGGCCCAGCAGTGCCAGGGTCAAGAGCCCCAGGCGTCTATGAGAGACTGAGTCAAGCAGGGTGAGGCCAAACCCAGCTCCTCAGCGCCCAACCTCTGTTAGCTCTCTCCCAAGAACTCACCATCAGGACACAAGAGGTGCTTCCGGGCAAACTGGACATCGGATCTCCACACCTGAGGGCACAGAGCCCCTGCCCTTTGAGCCACAACATCCCTGCCTTCCAGGGGGAGTTGGGTGAGGAGGGGTGGGGACAAGAAGGGAAGTCTCCACTGGCTAGGGGATGCCTTCAGTTCAGGCTGTGTGTGTTCCAGTTCCCAGGCTGGCACAGAACAGGGCAGGGGTGGCAAGTGCAAGTGTGATGTGGCCAAATTCAAAAAGTAAATTCACAAAGTTGGCCAGGGCTACAGGAGGGAGCTGGAAAGCAGAAACAATCAGACACCGCTGAGCCCTAGACCATTGTCACCATGCCCAAATGTGGACATAGAGCCCTAGCTTTTCTAATTTTTCAGGAAAAGCTGAAATACAGCTCTAAAAAATATGTAAATATGACAATCATATCCAATTTAAAAAACTATCCTGGCTAAAGCCAGTTTTTCAGACTATATTTTCCATGTTTACTACCTGAGGAGCTAGGGAGTATACACAGAGTGAGGGTAGGAGGATTCCTTACCAGGACACAGCCCCCTGGCCTCAGGAAGGGAATGATGAGGTCCACTGCCACTGGGCCTGAGCCCTGGGTCTGTAGGAACAAACAGCAGAATGGTTGTCCCATAGAAGCAAACCTGGCTCTGTACAGCTTCTGAGTCTTTGCCTATGCAGTTTCTCCCCAGCCCCAAAATATTCCACCCAGGTTTACAGACCCAAGTGTCACTTCAGTCAAGATTCCTTGGCTACTGCAGCCCCTACTGATCTTTCCCAGATCTCAACTCCTGAAAAGATGTCACACAACACACATCTTCTGAGTGCTACTCTGGGCCAAGCCCTGGGGAAGGTGGCCACAGACATTGTCTCTGTCCTTCAACAGCTCACAAACCAGAGAGGCTAATTCTATGTGCTCCCTTTACTTTCCCACCCAAGAAAGGAGGTAATATTGTGAGGAATTGAGTTATGGAGTCAGAAAAACTACATTCAGGCTTAACTATTGCCTTTGTAATCCTAGCTGTCTGATTTTTGCATGGAAATGATTACCTCTTCTCCCTGGGCCTCAGTTTCTTCATTTGTACCCAGGGAGCCATAATATTTATACATTAATGGGTTGAGGGCACTAAAAGGGGATATGTATATGAATGCTCTTTTAATAAACTGCAGTATATATTCATTTTTTGGTAGTACCTATTACTAGACAGTGAACTTCTGAAGGGTAGAGACTGTGTTATGTACTTCTCTTGTATCTCCCAGAGCTTAATACAGGGTGAGCACTGAGTAGGTCCTCAAATACACGCTGAATTGGACAGAAATGATTGCTATCTGTCTACAAGTGGGATGTGGCTCCCCTCTGTGTTCTGAGAAATAGGGGATTGACCAGTCTCCATCTTTGAGGAGCACCCTCTATGCTCTAACCCAGTGCCTCACACCTGTCTCAAACCTAACTCTCCAGTCAGCTTGTAAGCAGATAGTGATATAGTGATTCTCAAATCACTATATCTTCCTTTTGATTCTCAAAAGGAAGGTAGTCTTTTTCCACACCTTGCAGAAATACACGAATCAATGGGTTTAGGTCTTACTTTTAGGTTATCCCATATAATTTGGTCTTAAATCCTATGTGTTTGCCACTATCTATTTGGGAATCCATATATATATATATATATATATATATATATATATATATATATATATATATATATATATATATATATATATATATATATATATATATATATATATATAAAATGCAAAACAAATAAATAACCTGCAAGTGAGCATTTAAGAAAGAACTGGAACAAGCTAGTCATACTGAGTAAGCTTGGTGCTGTGGTTTTGTGGGTATGTTTGATTGTGGTTTTTATATCATATACATAGAAGAGAGTCTATTAGTCAAACTGTTCTTAGTCTACATATTGTGTTAAATCTGTTCACAGTATTGTACAGAGAACACTTTGGCTTCTAGGGGCTCTGACTTTTGAGAGAATCAGAGAACTTCTGCTCAGGTGCCTTGAGGAAATAGGAGAGTGGGTAGAGGAGAGCTGTGTTCAGGGATGACATTAATATGAAATGTGGCAGCAGTTCAGGTGGACTAGAGAATAGCTAAATGTGGAAAGGTCAGTGACAGTACAGGAGCTGAAAGGTTTAGAAATTGCCCATTTGAGGACCCATTGGCTGACAGAGGACCAGCTAAACAAAGGCTGATTGGTAAATAAATTAACCAGATAGAAATCAGGGTTTTGCTTGTCTCCACCCACCCAGGATTTATCTCACCAAGGTGGCATGTAGATGTGTGGGCCATGCTCTAAACAACAGGACCTAGTGGAGCCAGCCCTGGCTGGGCCATACCTGGCTGACACTGTACACAGGGGGAATCAAGGTGTCCGGCCTCAAACCTGGATAGCTCCAGGCAGCACTGAAGGTGGCCTGCA